TTCGTAAAGTTCAAAGGATGATCACACTTGTGTCTGAATGCTTGCCTTAATGCCTTCACTTTCCGCATTGACAGTAAGCACATAGTATTTTGTTACTGTCAGGTGAAGTGATTAGGACCCATACAGTTTTCGATTGTTGGTCACAGCAGCTTTCTAGCTACTTCCCACACCACACACCGCTCCTTCCTGACTCCAGACACTAAAAGGGGTCACCTGTGCCCTCCGACCTCCCGGCACCACCCTGTGAGCTTACCGTAACAACCCCCCCCCTCCCATTGCAGCAGAGCCAGAGGCCACACGCCTGCCACATGTTGGCTTTACTGACCTGTTACATTTGGTTGCTAGGTAAAGTAAACTTAGTCAATAACACCAAGAAAACCAGCTTCTTCTAATAATGCCCATGTCCCTAGAGCCCTCTGTTCTACCTCTCCCAGAACCACACCCCTATAATCAGAATGAAACTATGTTGTGTTCTTTAATTATTTAGAGCTGAATGACAATTTTTTAAGATATAACTTTTCAGAATTTGGCTGTAAAAAGTGGTGTTTCTTTAATTTTTCTAATATACCTTTTTATTCCTTTTTGACAGGGACACTGTACAAACTTCTGCGTGACTTTAGCTCTGCCAAGCACTGTGATTCACATGTGGATCTGTTTGACTTCATCGAAAAAAACAGAAACTCCAAGAGTCATCTGTAAAGGAGTCTGTATCCACATTTGCACTAAAATCTTGGAGGGTAGTTTTTATAACAGAAGAAAATACTGAGCTACTTAATCATTTTGAGAAGACAATTATTTTGAAGTGCTTTGTTTACATGATAATTAACTATACAGTAGCAGCCAGGAACAAAATAAACATCCAAATAGCATAATTTGGGTGTGTGCTTTGAGAGTTAGCACAGTGGTCTAATCTGCTTTATGCTAAAATTTACATTTGAGGTCATTGCCATACACCAGGAGTTGTGATCAGAAAACATTCTGAAGACATAATTCTTGAAATTTCTTGTAATTCTGCAATCTCATTAAATTACTTATATGACAATTTATTGCCAGTTTGTGTGGAATTTTATTTAATACTAGACTGAAAGAAACTTTCAGTATTTGAGATGCTGCATACGTTTGTTAACAAATACACAAAATACACATGGATAGTTACCTTAAACTGTTAGCAGTCGGACGTACCGCCCACGGGACATTGGATGGTTTAGGGGACTAATAGGACTGCTAAGGGGTTAATAAAACACTATTTGCACGATAAGACTCCATTCCATGTCCACTACATTCTTTTGCCTCTGTTTGTCCATGTGGTGTATGTGATAGGACTGTGTTGATCCTGCAACATCATATTAATGTTGCTGCAGGACTACAATTGCACCTGAGCCATCTTGTATGCCATGTATGCTGGCTGTGGTGGGTAAAGATGACGGTGATCAAGAGGCAGCTCCTTGCATTCTAAAGTGACTCATTGTGAATTCTTATCTCTACTCTTTAGAAAGAAGTGAAAGTATAAAGAAAATGTCCAAAAGAAAAATGAGGTTAATCTACAAATTCTATTCGGGGCTTTCTCGTGAGCATGATTGGGAGATCTTGAGTATTTAGAAGATCTTTGGTTACAATGGTGACTGACTTCTCTGCAGCTTCTTGATTACATGTATAAAAGAAAAAGTGCAAAATTGTAAATTATATATTTGTGAAATATTGAAGAGCAAAAGCAGGACTATTCAAAAAGCTTTATTTGCCAAGATCAATGAAAACAGAATATGTATAATAATAATAAAAATACAAGTTAGTTCTTTATACTTAGGACTGCACTTTTCTGGACCACAGACCTGTGATGTTGTTTCTGAAATCTGTTGGAGCCACTCTGGAGCAAAGTGTGCTAAAATGCCAGAAAAGAACTATCCTCGTTTTCTTCCTTAAAATATGAACATCATTAATGTTTCTGATTTTGTAAATCTCCAAAGGTTGATTCTGTTCATCTGGACGAAGCGTTTTTGGTGGGAGAAACGTTTCGTCACTCATCCAAGTGACTTCTTCAGTCTCAGCTGACAGCAGGTTTCCCCAATCTTATAAACAGTACATTTGCATAATGACTGAAATTAGCACACTAAGGGGCTGGGAGGTCAGTGCCCCACTGAAAACACTAGGTCCAGATGAACAGAATCAACTTTTGGGGAATGTTTCTGGTTGTTTGACCCAAAACAGTATACCACACATCGATAATATTATTTGAAGATTTGATCTGCGATTAAATTATCTGACGCCTGGAAATATTAAGACAAAACTAAAATATTCTCATCAGTCTTAAAACTTGTTAATTCTGTCCTAAATTCCAGACTCGGGCCAATACAGGGCCATATCATCAGATTCTCTAGCTCCTCTCACTGACCGTCAAAACATTGACGAATGTAATACGTTTCGGCGTAATAAGTTGTGTTAGCCAAACTGCTCATTGTGTGCCTTCTTGAAGACACTCACTAATGACCTGTATTCACAAGAATATTCCTGGCTACATCAGGCTGAGCTCTATAAACTAATTGATCTCTCTCTTT